GGGAATAGTCTGCCGGCTCCCGCAGGACTGTCTAATGCTGCTGCTGCGAATCACATACAGGTAACGTTGTTTATGCGCTTACGTTCAGCATTTCTAAAAGCCAGGGATCCTTAAAAGCTGATTTATACAAAGAAGTTTTGTAACTAGTTCTGTATGTTGGGCCTGATTCTTGTATTTATCACGCCATACCGGCACCTTTCTTTATTGACAGCCCTGTGACCTGATCTTCCTAGGCTGCACCCATTTTACGTGTATTTTCCAGACCTCTACTCCAATTCAATACTGCTGTTTATATTGGCAATTAAGCCTTATAAAATGAGTGGTACCAAATAAAGTCAGTATTTGAAGAGCAAGTTGTTTTTTAAAGTAGATTTACTGATAAGAAATAACACCTTGAAGTCACGTTGAAGTAGCAGTAAAGTCATTGGGGTATTTCTTTCTCCCACTCAGAACTCTTCTTGTCACTCTGCTTGCCACCCGTGCATCCTGTTTGCATTATGGACAGGGAAAGCTGCACTAAGGAACTCAAGGAGATGCAGCGTGTTTGGCAGAATGTAGGAAATCCATGACTGCAGAGCAGAAGAGAGTTCAGGGCTGGCACCATTGCACGGCAGCCGTACCACAGGCCCCCCGGTCATCCAGCTTGGTTCTGGAGTCAAGTGCAGGTCAGACGCAGCATCGTAGGTGCCAGCAGCACTTCTGGTAGGGAGCATTAATGCCAACTCTCCTCTCTCTGCTCCCACAAGATCACAGCATTCCTGAAAGTTAGATCTGCAGCGTTTTAACTGATGCCAGGTATTCTACTCAAAAAATAGAACATACCTTTTACAGAAAACCTGAAGTGGAGCAGAAGTCACTTTATCTTTCATGTAGTTCCACCTGCTGCACCTGGTTGCAAACGCTCTGGCATCTGGCCTTGATAGAAGTCACTGTTCTGCTCCTTGTTTTTTGTTGTTTTTTTTAAAAAAATAGTTCATTCTTATGGCTCTAATTGAGAAGTAGGTAAAATTTAAAAGCTAAACTAGCTTTTCACTTCACCTTAGAAAAATGAGAACAAAGTATGTTGTCTGGGAAGATTCTTCAGAATTTGCAGTCATGGCTGTAGCATGCCTGGGATCCCCTCAGTTGTCCCTGTTAAAAATACCTCAGAAAGCTTTTTATGGAGAGTAATTTTCCTGTATTTCCTATTTCCTATAATAGCAGATTTTTAACTTGTGTATTTTTTTTGCCTGCCTGTTCAATGCCGTTAAAAACAAAGCACACTGACTTGAACATTCTTTTGAACATACAGGAGATTATTTCAGGCAACTGTGTGGTGATTTTCTCTAAAACAACATGTTTCTACTGCAAGATGGCAAAAAAAGTTTTTGAGGGTATGAACGTGCACTATACAGCTGTAGAACTGGACATGAATAAAAATGGAAGTCAGTTCCAAGACATTCTTGAACAGATGACCGGTGGCAGAACAGTAAGTGTATTTTCTTACACAGAATAAGCAAACTAAGAACTCACACTACACCTGTTCCTCACGGATTATGACCACATCGAGTTCTTTTTTTTCTGAGACAAGTAAACTTGGGATGGGATACAAACTCTTAAAGTCAAGGCACTGCAGAAGGGCTCCGTACTGTCTCTTCGTCTGGAGATCCTCTGGCTATCCCTCTGAGGTGATCTTTTCCATACTGCCACTAAGATAATTGAAGTATAACAGTCAGTTCTCTTTTGGATAGGCAGATTTGATCCATTATATTTAACACCTTGTAATTTCTTAATTTTATGTAGTTTCACTGGACTCAATTACTTTAATTTATTACAGTATCCCATACAGTGACTCTGTCCCAATTTTGAGGGTCACATTAACAAGGTTTTCCATCTCTAAATAGCATAGAAACACATGAGTTGTATAGTAATGTTAGATACATATGTATAAGAGTTTAACTGTTGTGTGTATACTAGAGTTCATATGGGTATGCCTAGATTTTTATCCTTTTTTTCTGAAGAATTAACTAAGGCAATTTTTGTTCTCTTGATAGGTCCCAAGAGTGTTTGTCAATGGGACTTTTGTTGGAGGTGCTACAGATATACAGAGGCTTCATGAAGAAGGCAAACTGCTTCCATTAGTTACTCAATGTCAAGTACAAGAAAATCCTGGACAGCGATCTAGCTTAGCTTAGTCTTTCTACGTACATGATTTCAGACAAGGTAGAGGATCACAAGGATACACTGCATCAGCTGGACTCAACGACTTCAACCTATGGATTTCTGAATCACAGATCATTCTCTGACATAGACTTTATGGACTTAGCAAATTCCTTGGTGTCCTCAGCTTTACCACAAATAAAATGATAACAAAAACACCAGGAACTCTCAGGGCGTGCTCTAAGTGAGAGGTAGTGATGTCATTTTATTGCTATTACATCCCAATACTATGCTTCAGAGAAGTATAGGCTGCAAAAGAAGAATCCTGTATTTTTTTCATGGAATCATAGAATGCAAATTAATTTCTGCAAATTAATATGCTTTCTAACTTCATTCCAACAGTTACAATAAGTAGCCAGTTTAATTTAATGGTTCCTTTAAATTTAATTTTTCTCTGAATGTCAAATTTTAACCATGAAGAAAAACATATCTGTAGTGATACTGCTGTCTGCATGTCTGCCTCTCCTGCGTTCCAGTGTCTGATCACCTCTACCTACCAAATTGTATGTCCAGTTGCCACAGAAAAGGGAATAAAGATTCTTGCAGCTTTAGAGGGGTAGGTAATTGCTTTCATCTTTACTTGGCGCTATGAAGTATCGGTTTACACCGTGTCAGTCGGGAAATATCCTCAGAGGGGAGCCAGACAGCTCACTGCCACTGAACTGTGCAGCTACAAAGTACGGTTACGATCCGTGCAACACCATTATGAGACTTCAGACCAAGCAAAGCGGGTCTAATATGCATAGAATTTATTTAGTACTTAAATTGTACAGTCAGAACGCAGTTTACTAGCGATTTTAACTTGCAGTTAAGTGTCTAAAATTAATGTCTAAAATTCAATAGTTTCAGTACAATGTACATCCAAAGCCAGACCAGGCAATGTCAAGACTCTTGGTTATTTCAAGACAATTCCTATGCAAGTAGAAAATTATATCCCATCCTTCGGTAAAAGGGACCATTACACTACTAAAGGTGCACAGTTTAGAATAAAAACATTAGTTGAATTTTTACTCACTTCTTGTGAATAAGACTCCTATTATTTCCACTGCTTTCAGCACTGCATGTACCTAAACTACTTCTTTCCCCTTGAGGGGAAAAACGCGTTGCGTTTATCTTCAACTCTAGATAACTAGGACTGCAAGAGTATCACTTAAATTTGACAGCTTCAGTTTTGAGATGCGGGTCTGAAATACGATTGCACTGCATCATTTGTAGAAAGCCTTTAGTATACAGGTGACTGCACTGTGCATCTTTAATGTGTAATGAGCTAATTATACACACTGACCTCATTGTATTTTTATTGCAGTTTACTGTATTTTGCTAGTTTCATCACTGCCATATTAAAATTTTGCTTACAAGAACACACTCATAAAGGTAAACACATAAATGTGCATCTCTCCCTAAATTTATACTTAATAAAGCAATTTATTTTGCACATACAGTAGTAACCAAGTATTCTTTTCTCCTCTGTATAGAATTCTTAGGCCAGTTATGTTTTCTCCGAAGATTAACAATAATTTTGCACCTGAAAGCTGGTAAATCCATGTAATAATAATAATAATAATAATAGTACACAAAGGAATTTTTCAAAGACCTTTTCATTTTGTTCCCTGTTTAAAAAAAAATAAATCCCAAACCAGTAGTTTAAAATAACCCTTTGAGTTCTAAGTTTCAGAAATCCCAGGGCATTGTCACTTAAGGCAATATTTTATTCCAGCTGTTGAGGAAACATGCTATATGCCTGCAGATCCAAGTGAAAGCCCGTTTGTTAGAAGGTAAGGCGCTCAAAGGGTTAATCAGATTTCTTTTTAACCATATTAAGGCTCCCCATCCAAACAGTTTTTCATCAATTTCATATCATTTCATAGAAAGTAGCAGCAAGACAGTGCCTTCATTATTGGATGGCACAAAGCCATGTTATGTTTAAGTTACTTAAACATGATATGGCCCTTAAAGTGTGGGTCTACTCCAAAAAAAAAAAAGGGGGGGGGGGGAACACAAAACCACGCCACAACA